CAGCGTAGCTATGTTAGCTGTCATAGCTTTTCCTTGTTTACACAGATTCACAGGACACGTCTGAAATATCAAACTCAAGACGTTTCCTGAGCCACCGGCTATCAAACTGAAGCTGTGCTACACTCCAGCATCCTGCATAAACACCATGCTCATTGTACACTGTGCATGAAATGTACAATGAACATGTTTTGTGTTAATGCCAATTGCTCTGAGCCTTTTTTGAGTGGTAGGTTCTTTATATGCATACGCACTTCAGGTGTGCAGTCTTTTTGGAGATGGCGAATTCAAAACGCAGCTCGCCATAATTATAGCACTATATGAACATAAATATGCAATTAGCCCTCCGTTGAAATTGTTTTGCATAGCCCTTTACAGCTGTGGCACTGTGTGAGAATTATATTGTCACAAGAAATTAAGCATCCACGTCAGTCCCCACTGTTGCATAGATAGAGGCCGTAGGCCTACGTTAAATTTCAAAGAAGTCCAAACGTTTGGTACTTTATTTCCGTCTTTTGACCGAAAGAAGGGCATTTCCAAACCGGGATTTGGATAACCCTTGCTTATCGCAGGCCCCACTAATGTTAAGAAAACTGCATTACATATACTGTAATTGCGGGGAAACCTTTTTATGCTGGATATAAAATGCAAGATGTAACTAGTGAAATGCAAGATTCCCAACGCGTAATATCAAATCCGGGAAGCAAGTTTTCTTGCGGTCTCTTGGCAAACAACCACAACACCATGGCTGAGGTAAGACGTTTTCCACATGCAGGAAAAAAAGCTGAATATATCTCATGCTGAAATACGAATAACACAGCATTTTATTACCGAGGATGCTTTTTTTGCAATTCGCTTGTGAACTTGAAGGGTAAGGCGCTGAAGGGTACTTACTTCCATAGCTATCGACTGAATGACTTGATGTATTCATACTTGCCCCGTTTACACGTCAGTATTGTTAACCTCGGACGACAACACCAGAACTGCACTGCTTTTCAGTTAGGATGTCTTTATAACATGCTACCCTGGCCACGCACATCCGGGTTGGTTGAAGTTCGGACGTCATCACTAGTCATTGTTTAACGAAGTACCATTTTGTACATCAGGAGGTATCGCCACATATTTTTCGCCACATTAAAACAAAAAAGAGACTTGCGATTTGGTAAAAATAACAGCCAATCCAAAATTTCTAATTGTTCATAGTCTATACCTTGACCGTTAATAAGTGTTTTATGAAAAGAGGGGGAGAGCCACGGGGTAACCAGCTGGCTTCCTAGGTGTTCGTTGGGCTGGTGTAGAAAAATCATCTTTCACCATTTTTCACCCCGATGTTAAGCCGACCAGCTGAAAATGCCCAGGAACCGAAACAACTCTACCTTTCACCTTTTTTCTTTACGTTAGAAACAAAGACAGAAAAGAAAGTTTTTCTTCGTTTGTTTTGTTTATTATTTTTGATCTTTCACAAAGTGGCACTGTTAAACAATGCAACTCCCTCAAGTCAGATAGGTCAAGTCAGATTAGCGCAAATTTACGTGAATAGATTCAGTTTATACATCACTTCTGGTTTGACGCACATGTAAAAACGTAGCAGACTCTTGATGGATGATGTTTTGATGAGGCAAAAACTTGTGCATAACAACTCTTTTAGATGAAGATCACAAGTTTTATTCTAAATTCTGCTTGGGGTTGAAGGCCACTAAATAGATTCCTAATGGCCTGCTGTAGAGCATTTTCGTGATTTTGTTGACTGAAGGGTTTTTTTATTGAAAAAAGGGAGGTTGGAAAGAACCGACGGGAATGGAAGCTTTTTCTTCTGTAACGTCTGGACACAGTGGGCCCCTCCAAAGAACTCTCTTTTGCAGTCAGAGTAGGCATGGTTTTTTCAAAATACCATTTGGGTTCAAGAGTGTATTTTAGTATGATTACATTTTAGAGGAAACTTCACCAGAAGCCAGCGGTTAACCCATCCAAAATTGAACAGAAAAGTAAAAGATGAGGAAACAAAAGTGAACTTTGATTTGGAGTGTGCAGGGCAAGCTGACCTATACATGTACTTGTTTTGTCACAGGTAGGGTACATCCCGATCAGTATTTTTCTCACTGCAGCACCAGGGTTCTTTAGTTAGGTTTTCTGGGAAGGGTTTGGCCTGAATCCAAGGTGGTTACCATAGAGTTCACTTGTGCGTTCTGATAGCATTAGCAGTCGATTCGAGTATGATTCGAGAGAGTCCTGTCGTGAAGCAAGTTACGTTTTGGATCAAAAAATAAACTTGAGTCCTATTGTTGATATGGAAAGCCTGCATTTTGTGCCCCGTCCTTGACGAGTTCTCATAAGGTCTTCACTACAGTATTTCTGGGTTTCTTGTTTAGGCTTCGGGTCTAATAGGCCAGTCAATGTGTAGCTGCGTAGTGCAACCACTCGCTGAAATTGTCGCCAACCTGTTGACATTACCTAACGGAAGGCGGCAACAACAAGCTCTTGTTCCCTTATTGGCTTTTAACCCAACTAATGGTCATTTCTCTTTTCTGCCTGAAACTTTTCCCTCCTGAATACACTTTGACCCTTTTGTGCATGTGCGTCTGTCTTGCTCGGTCCTAACTGCCATCAGTGTTACTTCAGACTGTTTGTGCAAGTTGGAAGTTTTGCAAAACGCAGTGCAGGGAAAGAAATGATAAAACACTGTTCGCTGTAAATCATTGCCGGCACTGTAAAACTGCGCGGTCCAATGTCAGTTAGTTAGATATGTTGAATATCTTGATCGAAAACCTATTTTCTGGTGAGACAACGAGGGATCCATAACCTTTTTTTAAACCTTTTAACGAGATGTTGGGAGGACAGGAAAAGAAATAGCCCTCATAGTGAGTTGTTCTTGTCATAATCGTCTCTTTGAGGGGGTCGTCTCTTACTGTGAGCTTTCCCTAGCGTTTCCCCTTCCTTGACAATAAGAAGACAGTAAGAATAAGTTTGGCCACTCATTTTGTGTCTTGAGTATGATAATTATCCCACAATTTCCAAATTGTTTCATCTGTTCCATTGGAATCTTTTCGATCCCCAGGTTTTGGATCACCCGATTCCTGTGTGTGCAGCGTTACACTCCAATTAAATTTCTCAACATGTATCATTGTCAAGAGAAGCATAGAGTATTTTGCCAATTTGTTCCCCTCTGACTTCGTCTCTGCATCTCTGATAAGAATGTTGCCTTCCCTATCCAGAGAACATGGGAGTGTTCCCTGTTCAAACATATTAGTCTCATGCTAGTCTAATAATATTCAAGGAGCTGTCTCTGTAGATACATCGAATTTTGAGACAATGAATCTTCATGGCTTGCATGGACTGACTCCTAATCCTGAGTTCCATTGTCGTGAATCGGAGTTAGGATCTAATGATAGTGTGCGTTAAACTTGCATGTGTTTCAATTTGAAACAAATCAGTGCTTGAGGCCTTGCTAATTTGTTTACATGCATGGTCTGTCCACTGCGCCGAAGTTGTCCTTAATGCATGTAAGGACACAAGGAACCGCGTAAGCTTAATTTACTTTGTAAAAGTATTTGTGTAATTAATACCCGACGAAGTCGTTCCCTGAACACAGTCATGCTGTAGCAGCTTAGATAACACATTTAAATGTGCAGTGACGAATTTTCTCGACACGGAGTTCAAATGTGGCGACCAAGCTTTTAAAATTGAACAGTAAAATTGTAAAACGATTTTCCCGTGACGCGTAAACCACGTATTTAAATATTAGACCTGGTAGAAAACCTGTAGTTGGTTAATAACGCATCCCATTAGTAACGTTCTATCCGTTTCCAGTAAAGGGGGCGACTGCGCCCCGCTCCAGAAGTAGAAGATCATGAGCCAGTCAGATGTAGTAAATAGGCATTTACCTCATCCGGAGTAGTTTCTTTATTTTCCACTTCGTTTCCAATAGTAGCCCACGGATGTAAAACCTCTTTTCCTGTATCCTCATTTGATACAGCAACAGAAAGAAATGAAATTCTATCGTATATTAAGTGTTTATACCAAAGCCTTTTTGGCCCTAGGTTTTTCAATGCTCGCTGAGAATGATTGCATTCATCATCTACCTCATGCAAAATCGGTCTTATTCCATTTTGATCAGATAAATATGAGGTGGTGCGAAATGCAACAGTACATGATTATTTGCTCTTCAAGGTAGGAATATTTTAACTGTTTGTATTCACGGTGTGAAGAATTGACTGATTCATACCAGACACCGCCTATTGAAAGCTAAATTAGGAACCAGACATTTTCTCATTGATACATAATTTCACTTTTTTTTTTAGATCTGCTAAAATCTAGTTTAGATCTGATCCGATATCGAGGGCAAGGCAGCAAGATATGTGTGTGGGGTACTGCTTGACAACCTGAGGACGAGGTTGTATGAGCACAGAAATGCTGCGCCAGAATTTATAAGTGTAAATCATAGCAAGGATATTTCTTATGATTCTAGTATACAACTAATTTCCAAAACATGACACAATATGGGTGAGTTGACATTCTGTTTTAGAAAGGGTTTTCGCATTTACCTTCCCCGCCTTTGGGGGCTTTTTCGACCAGTAAGATGTCGACAATATACGACTTATGCAATAATCGGCCGGTCAAAAAAATCCTTCTCAGGTCAGTTGCCGCGGCGCTGTACTTCCCCGCTATTATCAAACGAGAATTTTACAGAAAACCCCCTGTACTGATCTCTTAAGGTGGACAACTTCAGACTATCACTGGCCTGTATTGTTTGCTACCGGTGGTCATTTCGGCCTTGGGCGATAAAATATTGCGGTCGATTAATTATACGGTGAGGCTGATTGCACCGCCTCGTGACCATATGGATAAAGAGCAATTGCAGCATTTTGCAAAACTGTGTAGAATTAATTCTTTCCACAATGCAGAGAGTATCTAACGGTAATGTCAGTAAAATTGGGTCCATGCAATGCATCCACACTTAAGTGAAAAGATTCAAAGACTTTCAGTCGCAAATAGTTTCACATGCTTTAATTTTGATTTCAAGTTGTGGAAGTAGGACTTACGCTCTAAATGTGAAAGAATGAAAAACCTTGATCTGAGAAGAATGAGTACCTTATAAAAACCACCCGATAAGAGTTTAAAAAAAACCACTCTACAAAGAGTTTAAAAAATCATAATCACTCCGAAAGCCTGAAATTTCCACTCTCTTTTAAGGAGACATGTGAAAGACAACGCACAAAAAGGAGCTTTGTGGCTCCTTTTTATGGCTCCTCTTTTGGTGTGATTTTCACGTTTTTGAGTGGTTTTAACTCTTTTAAGAGTAGTGTTTACTTTTACGGAATGGATTTTTAAGGGTTTTTAAATTTGCGTTTTTCACTCTTTTGCCTTTGGAGAGTAGCTTGCTAGAACAGTGTTCAAGCAGTTTCACTGTTTTCTTTGGTTTTCGTTCTAGTGCCTTGGCCAAAAAATAGTAGGTAGTTAGCATGAAACTGTGAGCACATTTATAAAAATCATCCATTGGTTATTCAAGTTTGTTGCATTTAGTGGGTCTTTTATTATAGAAAAGATAGGATAAGGTTGGCCTTTCTAGTTCATACAATATAACCTGTTCATCATTTCATGTTATCGCAGTGCAAAGCAGTGGGGTTCGGCCAGACTATCATACAAAAATGCAGTAAGCCCCCACAGTAAGTAAATACAGTCATGAAAAATCTCACAGGAGTATTCACAGTAGTTGGAATCTGACGTACAACGTAAGCTTTAGTCACAGTGTACACGCCATTAGGTCAAAGTCATGAATCCTTTCATATAGTATAGCTGAATTTAGTGAGTTTCTGCTCTTTTCCTTTCAATTTTACAAGCTTGAAAGGAAGCTCTACAGTTAATAACCGTACTGTAAAAAAAATGCAGTGAGATATACGGTAGCTATATCCGCAGCTCTAATAAAGTGGTTTTTATTCGAAAACACTGTAACTAGTTTGCTCTAGAAAGAATCTAAAACTTGGTTACATGGTTACCCATGGATCGATTCAAGTTCGGTGATTTAGGTTAAAGGTTGACGTACTAATACGTATGCTTCCGTAATTATTTAAACATTATTGAAACCATTTAAGTATTCAAGGACTGGCTGAACAAGTGCATTTACGGCCATTGACGCTGAGTATAACAATCAGGAACGCATAGCTGTGTAAAGCTTTTATTCAGTGTTGACAGTATTCCCATAAAGCATAAGAGAATACTTGTGTGAATATTCAACAGATATAAAACAAGATTTTCCTCCTCTGCTATTAGATCAACTCAGTTCAGTAAGGAGTTTGATGGTGATTTTACAAAAGACATTAACATTTTTGAATTTTCCTCTTTTTTGATGTACAGCAATTTCTGTTCTCTTTTACTGTGTTCCTTTTGGAACCCCAAGGTCTTGGAGCGTCACTTAAGTTTTGACATCGACGCATTCTGTCTCGCTGACGATTCCATCTTGGTCGAACTCAGCATAACGGTCTAAACGATTGGAAGCCGGTGCCTGCCGGCACAGACGGGACCGAACAAAATGCACAAGCGGCTTACGGTGCGCATCGCTGATAGTAAACACCACGATCGGATTCAGCAAGGAATTGACGTAAACCAGGACGTGGGCTATCTCAATAAAGGTTAAAAATAACGCATAAGAGACCTTGTAAGTCTCGTATATATCTCCGTAGAAGAAATGCAGGATAATGGCATGGTTGGGAAGCCAACAGATTGCAAAAGAGATGTTGAGAATAAGCACAACTATGGCAAGGCGGCGCCTGGCGCGCACGGTGACCGAGCTGGCTGGCGTGCTTTGCGCCAAAGTAATAGCCGTGCCTACGTAGCAGCATGTAATCACGAGTAAAGGAATCACATACTTCAGCACGAAACCCGCGGTGAAAAAGCCTCTGGCCACGTAGTCGTGCCACCATGGTAGGACGTGGCAAATGGAAAGGTATGGGCCATAACGTACGACGGAGGACCACACCAAAACGGGTACAGTCCACGAGAGGGAGAACAGCCAGACGATCAGGAGGATAAAGATATAGCGTTTGGCGTGTACGTTCCAGCAGATGGAGCAAAATCGCTCAATGCTGACAGCTGTCAGAGACGCAACAGATAGCGCCATGGCTAGGCTCCACGAACTGCCGCTGACTTTGCAGAGAAAGTTCCCAAAGGAGTTGTCAGGCCAATTCAAGACGAAGTGATGCACAAGGTCAGAGGGTACGGAAAAGACGAACATGATCGTGTCGGCCAGGGCTAAGTTCCCGACTAGGGTGTTGGAAACAGTGCGTAGGTGCTGATTACTTAGAATTACCTGTTAGAGACAAAAAAAGCTTCGTGAGAAGAAATTTATGAGTTTGTACAATGACTTCTTGAGGAGGTTTTGATACCCATTCATAGCAGCTAAATGCAAGTTACATTTCGCCTGCCCAGGAAATAAAAATCTGAGGATTTTCATTTGTACCGCACGGGAACTTGTCATACGGTAACACATTACAAAAACTGAACAAAAAAAATTAAGGCGCCTTGTTTGACTGTAGGCCAACATTTTGCCAGTAGACATTCACCTGTTCGAACCAAGGAGATATGAATTTAAGTTTTGAAAAAAACTTAAAACGTAGCTATATGTGCGGCAGCTGAGACTTAATTCCAAATTATATTGCCACGGCACTGTGTAAGAATGCGAACTCGAATAGTGCCTAGATGATACGTCACTTATCGTGCAAGAAGTGCCCAGATTGAAACTCGTCATCAGTGTTCATCTTTTTTGAATTTGTGTGTTGTTTATTGTTCTTTTTCGCCTGTTCAATCTTATGTTAAATTTCAATTGATGCTTTTGTTTTGTTTTTGTTTGTTTGTTTTTATTTGTTTGTTTGTTGGGTTGTTGGGGGTGTTTGTTTGTTTATTTGTTTGTTTGTTTTGTTTTGTTTTGTTTTGTTTTGTTTTGTTTTTTTGGTGTTGTTTTTGTTTTGCTTTGATTGTTTTTTTTTGTTCACATCCCTGGAGGAATCTTTTCAAAGAGAGGTAAAGTCCATTTGTTTCAGACTGGTCTGGTTCCTGTTTCCAGTGTAGCAGATTTAAAGCAATCCGCCTAGAGTGCCGCAATTATAGCCACTGCATTTTTGGTGATCATGTATGGGGCACACGAACATTAGGAAATCATACCATCAAGAGAGCCAAATTTACGATGGTTCCATACACCGCCATGATAAGCATAACTATTAAGTTCCACTTCCACGGCATTTTCAACATAGAGAACGTGTAGTTGGAGGACGCTGAGTTCTCATTGTAATCCCCAAAGTCAAATTCTGCAAATGAAATGAACGGAAATGTGTTATCGCTTGTTTCACTTCAGAGAGCTATAAAATATGTATACAAAATAAATATACACGTGGTTTTGTTTATTTATTGGGGAGTTGGGGTGTTTGTTTTAGTCAAAGAGGGACCAAACCTTCCGTATCTTTTGGTAAGCTGTCCCTCCTAGGTCATGACATGAAATGAGCGGGGGAACCTTAAAATCCCCGAATGAAAAAAAAAGAAATCATGTTTTCACTAAATTTGTGTAGTTAAATGAATGAATTTAATGGGAACAGACGTCAAAATACTGTACGTACAAAACACATGCAAACCAATTTTCCAAACCAATGTCTCAGATTTGTGTCCAAATGCTTCCAAGCAAACAAACAAAAGAAGAAGAAGAAGAGGGCAGTATTGTAATGGCATCTTTATGCAATCACGTTGGGAATGAAAATCTTTTGTTATAAATCTGTAGTCCCCATTTTTGTTCATAAGAAAGGGCGCGCTTTGCAAATTGTCAGATTTTCCATTTGAACTACGGAGGCACTGGAAATATAACTGCGTGCCGGATATCGGTTGTAAAGTGAAGGGTCTCAAAATCCTGAGCAAAAGTAAATTGAACTAAAAACAAGAATCTCAAGGTCTTACATTTCAGTAGTAGTGGATAGCGATTCTCTCAAAGCTAGATCCAAAACAGATCAAAAACCCACTGCAGACTTCACTAAACAAAATTCTTAAACTGTCACTCTCTTGCGTGACAAGAACGACTAAAGTAAAGCAAAAGGAAATGATTTACCCATCTGTTCGACTTCCCCAGTACTCGTACAATTACTGTTTGCCGTTATAGCTTTTTGTTAACACAGATACAAAGAAGACTTCGTCTTTATTATCAAATGCAGGATGTTCAAGTTTCCGTAGTCGGGAAGTCAAACTAGAACTCCGTCAACATTTTGCACTGGCACTGACTGGCACGACTACTAACAAGAGAGCTATTTTTGCATGATAGTTGAACGTCCTTTTAATTTGTTGTACCCGCGTTTTTTCATAGCTGCATTGAAGTAATGAGCACACCTTCATTCTCTTTGCAATGAAACGACACTTGATAATTCCCAAAGTTTTTGTATTCATCCTTTTCGGGGATTGTGGGACGAACTAATGTGGTGTTTTACTGTTCTGCATAAATATATGCAGGTGTTGGAGGATTTTTTTTCTAGCCTTCACCTTAAGCTGTACACAAACAACCAGCAGTATGTTAGAACAGCATTCAATCAAGCCTTTGGTCCATGCTCAATGTTAGAACGAGGTTCTAACATCCAAATGCAAAGATACAGATGCATGCAACAAAGTGAACAGCCCCTTCAAGCACTCTCGGCTATATGCCTGAGAAAGAGAAGCGTATTACAAGTTGTTTTGCTGTTCCAAACACTCGAGTGGTAAGCGCGAGTTTAAGTCTGCATCTGAATCTCTTATTAAGAGCCAGGTCTAGGTTTTCGCTCCTTTGAAAATGCGTGGAGACGCGAAGACAATAGGCCTAACCGTAGCTCTGAAAGCCCGTTTCGGACACAGCTTCAGTCTAAATGGCGACTTGGGGGGGTTCCATGCCCTGAGTAAATATCCACTGCCCTTCGTTGCGCCCCAAAATAATACAGACATTTTCGAGGCCCTAATAATGTGTGCCGTCAAAATAGGTTTTCCCTGCCAATTTCGGAAAATGTTTAAATTAATTATTAATGGCAGCATTCGTTTTTGAGCGAAACAGAACAAAAATCCAAATCCCCGTTTAACAAATACAAGTTCTTTTTCAAGGAGGGTGCATTCAGTTGTGTAAAGTCAGGGTTCATTTTCTCGATATTGCACTAGTTTAGTATGTTGAAATTCATTTTTCCGCGAAATCGAATGCACCCCTGAAATCCTGCTTTCATTTTCACTTGAACTCAATGTATTTCGCAAAATATGCAGCCGTTTTCGCGCGAAGTTTTTATTTAACGTATGCCAGGTCAAGAATTAAAATGTGTCTGCGTGCTACCATAAGTTACATTCTCAGAAGTGCTTAGTTAATTGGTTAAATGTTTGATTATTCAGGATTGAAATAAACCATTTATTTGTCGTTGGAAACATACGGACCGTTGTAGAAAACCTACAAACAGCGGCGCAGAGGGAACCTTTCTTCTTGTGCTGCGTTTCAATCATGAAAACCTTAATTTTTTTACAGTTTGATGACAAACACACTATATAAACATTCTTGAGTAACATGACTTTTTTTTATCAAAGTCGTGTCATGATTTGTGTAAAATTGTATATTCTAATCTAATTAAACGTATATTTTGCATTTTAAGTTATAGCAAATGAAAATGAATATTCACTGCCGAAGGGTCACTGTAAAAGGCAAATTTTTTTCGAATAAGAATGCATGTTTGTTGAAATAATTGACAACGAATACGTCCATTCGAAATCCTAGTCAGGCATGTATCTTTAATGTCTTTGAAACGTAATGCAGTTCATATATATGAAGAATGCAAAACGAAGTCAAATGTTTGTTATTGCGATAATGAAACCAGGTGTAAAGTCTTTTTCAAATCTCCGCCAAATTGAATTTTTATTTTACAAATTAGATCACAAATTTTCTTACATTGGCTGGGAAAACCTAGAGTACACCATATTGATAAACTTTTCAATGTAAAGAGCAAAGCTGGAACCCGTGTCATTTTGAAGCTTCGCGGTTTTCGTGCGAAACGGGAACTCCTTGTCCCCATCACCACCCCCATGGCCGAGCTAAGACAAATGCGAACTGTTTAGACTGGAAACTGAACATTGGAGCGTGTTCTCAGTTCTGGTGAACTACATCCAGCGAATAGCCGTTTAAGCAACACAGTTTTAAACATGAAGATACACAGTTATGTTAGGCCCACGCCACGGAGAAAGGCCAGTTACCACTAATTACCTCTATCTGCTTCACCGGTGTGGTTGGCTGAATCCATGCTTCAGAAAGCGCACGTCCACGTTGACAATTTCACACACGACGATTACTGGAACAGCACTGTCGTTGGCTTCAATTGTCTATAAAACGTTTTATCAAGGACATGCATGCCCAGGCTATAGTTTTCTCCGGGGCAGGTTCATCGACCGCAAAAAGGAGCTGATGAACTTTGATTGGCCAGTTTTCGTTCCAGGAATCATCGATTGCAGAACCGGTCAACTATAATCACCGCGGCTACAGAAATTTAATAGATTTTTAAAAGGGCCCATGTAGTGCAGTTTTTAATGCAGTCCTTGTAAATGCGCCTTTGTGAGTTTCTTAACCTCGTTTTCAGTTTCTATTTAACCGTTTTAAAGGTACTTTGATGCGTTTTTATGCTAATTGGAGGTATTTATAAGAAAAAGCATGACTTCATTTCAGGAAGAAACAGTGTTACAGATTGATTCATTCTGCAAGGAAGAATACGCGCGTACACGGCATGACTTTGCGCGGCACCCCAGATACTAATGTACTAGTAACACAAAATAAGACCGGTGCGAGTGGAGAGGCCAAGAGCACTGTCACTTGCACTGATCTTGTTTTGTGTGTGTTGAATGTAAGAATTCAGGGTGCAAAGCGGGCCTGGAGGCCACAATTGCTTGGGCAATCTCGCAGTAAAGTTCCCGACATCTGAATCTTATAGAATGGGATCAGTGAACCAATTTCGATCTTGTGGGGTGGTCTTCGAAGTGTTAGATTAATATTCTGCTCCTTTACGAATACTATAAACGCTAACTCTCTTATCATGCGTTAATTTCTTCATATTTATAGGGAATCAGCACTGTAGACAACGAAGATCCCATTTTACATCATGTGAATGTGGAAAAGCATACTTGATGGATGGCAACAGAGACATGAACGCTATGTTGCAGAGCTAAGAATTTTAAGTTTAAGGTAAAAAAAAGTCATGCACTACAACAACTTGGTCAAATAGAGTAGGGGATGGAAGGCAGACCGGTTTTAGGTTGAAGTGGTCTCGGCTGTATCGCGTGTTATCTGTTCTCGACCAGCTTCCCTTTGACATTTCCTTACGGAAAGCGACTTCGTCTGAAAGCTCCCATATCCTGTCTAACTTTGATTCTAATTGTTTCCCTCTTTTTGTGCCTCTGCATTTAGTTTGATTCCACTTCCAGACGACCCCTGTTATTTTGGCAGCCCTCTCAGGAATCGGTGTTACTGTTATTTTCGCCCAAGTGCACCCACTGCAATATCAAACCGCAGTGATAAAGTCTAGTTAAAATGGTACACTAATGTGTGGCAATTTTTTAAAATAACATTTTGCGGAAGACATTTTCCATGATAATAAGCGGTTTCCTGGATGTTCTGCCGACTCTTTTGCTTATATGTCAATGAGCCTTTTGCGAATTAACTTTGACCCAAATCTGGTACACCGACTTCTTTAAATTTACGTGAACAAAACAACTTGAATTCTCTTTACTAAAGCCACTGTTGCTTATACCCATATACCTAGCAAGAAATGAGACTGAGGGGTACCCCCCCCAACATGTCCAATCCCCATACACATTCCAGACTATTGTTACTTAACACATCCCCCCAAGACGTCTGAAAGGAATTCCCCAGATTCCTGCGAGACAATGACCAACACAAAGCACGGGGCGGGGGTTCTCTCCGTCTCATACCTTGCTGCATATGCTGTTGCTGTACCTCGTGATTCGGGGCAAGCTTTTGCTTTATGCCTTGCAACAACACACTGTTCTCAATGGATAAGAAGGGCACAAAGGAACCAGTCCATTCCAAAGATGGTGTTCGCTTTGCGCAAGCTTGCCCCGAATCACGAGGCATAGCAACAGTGTCTTTAGTCCGTGGAATTCAAATTGTTATGTTTATGTGCAGTCAGATAACTCAGTGCACCAGATTTTATTCAAATTTATCTTGCAAATGGCTTATTGGTCGCAAGATGTCACGATGGAATTTGAAAAGATCGTCCGAAGAAGTCTGAGCATCGCAAACTTTGATTTGATCGCACGTTGAATGCTCTGTACGTGTTCACTGAAAAGCTAGAGGATCCAGTATTCTCAGGGTAAAATTGTGGACTAATTTCCTCGTTGGATGTCTGTACAGAACAGAGCGGCTATTCAGAAAGTCCCTGATCGACAGTCTGCAAGCTGTATTCGCTTAGTTTGCTTGCCTAAAATAGTGATATAATATTTGAGTCGACCCAGACATGCGGCGCGCTGTGAGAAAAAAGACGAGTGCTGTTTGTCACTGTTCCCACATTCATTTCTACAACTTCGTCTTTGCCGGACCTGTTTCCACAGTCTGCCTCCTAGTATGCAGAGCGTCCAAAAAGAGTGGAATCAAACAAGAAAACGACAGAGAAACACCCCTTTCATCTAAGCTTCTCTTGCAGAGAATCACCCAAGATGCACAGTAGCAAAATAATCATCGAGGGAGCCTGTTCCAATCACATAGACATGTTTCCTCGACTTTCCCGTCGTGGCAATCCTATACATGTACTACGGCTGGTGTAACCTTTGCGGTAAAAAAGAGTCGGGGTGCCTGACGTCCATCTTAAGATGCAGCACGTGTCGATTAGTTTAAAAGTCAGTATCGTTAAACGTTTTGTATAGCAAAAATGACAGTAAGTATTCCTAAACACAATCAGAAAATCGCGTGAAAGTAAACCATAAAAAAATCGGTCAAGAATGTTACTTCGCACTGACCGTATTTTCTATAGGGTCAACAATTTTGAAAATCGTAATAAGTAATTGTAATCGTAAGCATCCGGTTTGAAGAAAGAGGTTGCATTAATTGTCTTCCCACGTGGTCTCCATAGCAAAATCTTTTCCTTTTTTTTTTTAATGAAGATCTATTTCGGTGGAACAGGTCTTAGGAACGCTTATCGCGCAATAGAAGCCACATGCGTGCGATCAAATACGCGTACATCTCTTTCATGGTTCCGGGTCGTCGAGTACCGTCTGCTTGTGCAAACGCGCTGTTATTGGTTTGCCCATAGAATGTGACATTTGATATTCAAACAGTGTCTTTGTATTGGAGAAAATGGCAATCGATGGAAGCAGACAGAACCAACTTCCTCGTACGCCACCGTTGCCATAATATTAGAAAGTCCTCGCAGGTATGGATGAAATCAAAGAAATATGGTTGTTTTGAAATGACTGCACAAGTTCAAAATCCTTTATATCGTGATGGCTGAAGACATCTTCCAACTATCGGAGATTCAAATCTACAATTTCTTAAATCATGACTTACGGTATTGATATGCAGATTACGCACGTGATAGAGCTGCTTGGAGTTCTGGGAACAGTGAAGAGAGCGCTTTCCAGCACACGCGGTAAGATAACTGTTGTTGATTGTTTTGCTTGCTTTTCTAATTTGTGCATACGTCTCCTATAAAGGATGACTCAAACTTCCTGATGGGTGTGTATGGATTTGGATCAATTCGGAACCACTCGAAACACACGTCTTACGCCGACATGGACATTACTAGCACTTTGATTCCATTATTATGACCCCCCCCATTTAATTGGAAACGTGTTCAGGCGTAGAGCAATCCTCGTCGTCGTCAGCTAATTACGATTCTCCAGGCCTACATCAAGTCCTAAGCAAAGCGAAACAAGAGAGAAGGCATCCAGACTGAAGAGTTGGCGCGTGATAGATTCGACCTCGTGTAGAATTCCGCGCCACATCTATATCGTTTTTTTAAAACGAAGTAGGAGGCCTATGTGCCTTATTTTACCATATAGCATTGCAAAACAAGAGTCACTGCCTAGTTACACATCAGTTGGGAAAACGTCAGAATTTTCCCCCGGGGTTTTTGTTTTGACGAGGTAACATCAAAGCGGTAGGATTTCAAACTATAACAGAGTTCTGGGAACGGAATTAATGTATACAGATACGAGTAGTGTGTCTCCGCATTTTACTGAATTTGCTTCCTATTCTGGGTGCAGAATATGCCAGCCCAACTTCGCGGTACACCTTTGTGAAGGAGAAGTTGTCTTAGAACGAGGCGCAAAATGGCTGCGCCTCGGCCGGGGGACACCTGGCCTTTGTCGACTTGGAGCAAGAGAGTTTGGACTTACAAAACGCTCCCTCCTCATTGGCTATCCCGTCCAGCCACTACTGGATTGGCCTGGTCACTACGGGCCGAGACGCGCCTGGGCATGGCTTGACGGCTCACGGCCAGCTTACTCCCCAGCCAGCCTAGAAGCGGCCGACGACGACGATTGTTATGTCATCTCGCTGGGCAGCGGAAAGTGGAAAACGCGAGATTGCATCAGGTCCGAGAACTACGTGTACGAACACGAAGGTATGTTGATCTGTGATTTGTGTTTCTGGATAGCTGGCTGATGGTTGAACCTTCACCTCTCCTCTAACCCAGAATTTGGATAGAAAAACAGTAGTTTGCATGATTCGAATCACTGCTAAGTATCCCCTTAGCCTAACTTTTCACCGCATCTTGTATACTTGATCCGAGTGACGCCCCTGATGTTTGATAGATTGTGTTCATGCGTCAGCCATCTTGAATTGAAAGTGAGGTGAAACTTTTCATTTGGGGAACCCGACAGTAAAAATAAAAGCTCAAAAGACATTTATGCCAGTTTTGTTCAGAAAAAAAAATTGTGGTAAGTTATATTTTGCTTGAACTTTGAAGCCAGAATAAAAAAATAAGTCAGGCTTAGAACCCAAGATAGTCTGGAACCATCCCATCCCATATAAAACATGGCTTCCCCGTGAACACGGTCTGTTGCCAGGATTTTTTTCAGTGAAGGTCTTTGAAGTTTTGGGGGTAGACAGTGTTTGCAGGAGAGAGTGTGTGCTTAAAAGTGTGAAATGAAAGAATTTTTTCACTTTCCTATTTCAACACAAAATAGCAAAACAGAACAATCATTTGAAATAGAAACGGACGTCACCCATTTTGATTAGTGCGTTTCTGTGGCAGTGGGAATTACGCTACTCCGGCGAGTTCAGAATTTGCACCAAATTCGGGGAAAACAATGAAAAATGCAACCGTCGTTATCGTATTCTGACATTTTAAGGTTTAAGACTGGTCAGCGCTGAAAACATTAATTTTGTTTATCTATAGGACTGGCCACTACCGTTGCCATTTATACAACAGGGGATACGACTAGCCCTTTAAAGGACTGGCATCTGTCTCTTCCGAGACGGTGCACAAACTGACGAGTGCGTCCACGGTTAAGGAATACCAGTATAGATTCCTGACTTACCCCCTCCGAGCCTAGGGTAAGACAGGGCCTGATCATGTCACCCTGAATAAAGTCAGAGGCACCCGATCTCATCTGCGTTGCGCAGTCGCGTGCCTAAGACTGGACGGTTGTAAACATTTCGTCCACTCCTCGGACAGTGACTGTTTGCCGTCTGACGCCAGCGAGTTGTTGTGCCATGATTCTGCAACGATTTATTGCATGAAGGAGAATAAGCTTGCGGTGACAATTACTCCACATATTAATTAAACAAAAGTCTGAATAGAGACCATCCTGAATAGAGTGCATCACTCTCTGGTGCCGTGGAAGAGTTCTCATACAAGTGTTACATCAGTCGTTGATTGAGGCCCATAATGGCACCTTAAAGTGTTCTTAATTATTCGGGGTGTCCACATAGGAAACATTCCGAGATAAAAAGATAACAGTAGTGGCAAAACTTCTTTAAATGGGAAACAGAAATATATCTCTAGTTTTGTCATTACAGCAATTTTTTTTATCTCGGTATACTTTTTATGTGGACATCCAGTACCAGTAGATTTTTTCAGCAACTTAACATTTTTGTAGGCTTCGGAGAATAAGAATATAATCACTAGTACGGTTGTACGTCCACACCAAAAAATGTGGATATGTCGGATTTTAATAATTAAAATAATCATAAATTGAGATAAGTTGTCTAAAAACTTATTTCTTGATTAACACAAGCAAATTTCAAATCAAACAAATGAATAATTTATCTTTAACTTCTTAATGAAACAGATACACTTCAGGTTTTCAGCGAAAGAAACTTGCAGTCAGACATTTCTGACACTTCCAGGACAAGGTGAAATTGTCAGGGCCTTCCATTACTTCCCGGGGCTAACGCGTATAGGTGCGACTGCGTTCGATTTGACATTAACGACACAGTACAACACAACATATCCACCGACAGAGGGCGTTCCATGTATGGGGTGTTCGCAGACAGCAGCCAGATCCCGGTGTCCACAAGGTCTAAATCGTGGAGCTATTGATTAAATGTACGCAGGGAGAAACAATGAATATCGGCTAGAATCTTGACTGACTCATGGCGAGTCTGGGTAACTGACCCGCTGAGCCGGTTACGTGGGTAGGTATCCCACAATCTAATTGAAAATCATGGCGGCCTCGTTGAGCGTTTCGAAAGTTAACACTGTTGAAAATTATTTAGAAAATAGTTAATGCAGTAGCAAATAGGCTCAGGTCAACTTAGTTATATGAACGAAAGGCAGGAAGTGTGAGTTGGATGTAGGTTGCTTTCGACCAGCTGGATTCACTTTGCAAATTCAATCGATGTATGACGTCTTGACAGTACGGTGGTCGGTATTGGCATACCTTGTGTACCTTTTTGTGAGTGGTAAGCTAAGCACTGTGTAATTGAACGTGCCCCTGGTCAGGCACCTCGAGCAAGCCAAGATCATAATTCTATACATCATAGCATGCCCATCTAAACCTATGACGACATCACGGTTAGGCGCGAGGGAAGTAATCGAACGCGCTGGCATTCAAAGAAGTACAACCGATGGCAGAATGCCAATTAAACTTAGCTCTATATATGATCATTGGTATGGATTTGTCGTCTACCATGAAAGGATGAATTGATTTGCTGTCCCTCGAAATTGAGCTTTTATGATCTTGCATTTGAGGTCCTGCCCATTAATTTACATAACAAAGTCCATGGGCGTCCAGTTACAGGTACCAGCTGCGACATTGAAGTATCTTCCCGCTGAATAGATTTTAATGAGATGGGAGTTTTGTTGTTCGACGTAGAATGTCTCTCGCGAATAAGGCAGTGCTTCGTCGTAGTCGTACAAACTGTAATTTTCAGTAATGCCATCCCATACGGATAGCGGATAGACCGATTCAAAGCTCTCCGTTTTACAACATGGACGACCTTTTACAAACAGCAGCAAAGGTAAGCCGAATTTTTAATATAATATCTAAGTCCATATGATAAATCCAACAAATCGACGAAAATAGTGAGACGCATAAGCATAACCCAGAGAGGAAAAATTAACCAAGTTCATTTGAAAATGTTGATTATAATCATTCCCATACTTTAAACTATACCATATTAAGTATCTTCTGTTTAGACATTTTTTTTTCAATTTCAGGTGATGTTCATGATTGCCTGGGCCAGCTTTGCTTTCTGCCTCGAAGGTAACTTGTTTGTGGATTTAAAGAGCCATAGTCTAAGGTGTTAGCCCAGCATTTATAGATTTATTTGATGGAGAAAAATACATGAAAATGGTTGTTCAGAGGAACTTGTAATACTTAACGCTTTAAGCCAACGAAGTGATGTTAGATCACCTTGCTTTTGATAGCCAACTCAACGATTTTAGCCTACAAGATTCCTTCAATCAGACGGGTCTTTTTAGGCCTATACAGGAATCAGGTACAGACAATGGTAGGGTGTCCTTCCAGTCCTTACTGCATTTCCATCAGTGTGCACTTCATTTGAAAGGCAATGATCTCCTCTTTCATTTGATTCCAGAAAGATGTTTGGTCATGCATTACTGACCAATGATAACCTGAAATTGTGATGTCAACTGGCTTCGAACGAATGGTCATTGACCTAATGAAAACGTGATGTACTGCACAAACGACCTTTGTGTAATATTTTTTTTCTTGCTCATACTCATTTACCGCATGTCCTATACAGGAATTATAGCTGTAGACCCGGCCTATTACATGTAACAATCACCAACTTTAATACTGAACTCTGGTCAATTTACTTCAAAAGTTCAATGCACAGCTGATTGAATACCGGTATAGCTTACAGGAATGTGCGGAGTCATTTGGTAGTTCTAGACACGTCTGCCTCAACTCAACTGTGACGTTACCCATAATTTCCTCTCAGATTGCCCGCCTGGTTTCACGTACTTCACGTGTTCGTGTTACAAGGCCCACGTCTCGCCGAAGCTGCAGTGGGCCGACGCCAAGAACGCATGCGCAGCTGATTCCGACGGCGGCCATCTTGTGTACATTCAGAGCGAGGCTGAGCAGGCTTTCCTCCGAGACTTGGCGATGGCCGCGGACACCAGTACTCATTTCTGGATCGGGATCAACGTCGGCGAGAATGGCAAACTACAGTGGTTGGATGGCAGCCGCCTGAAGTACACGGCATGGGACGGGCCCGTACAACATGGGCGAGATTGTGTACGACTTAAGCCGGCCAGTGACTACCGATGGAACGACAGGTTCTGCACTATCTACTTTGGCTATATTTGTGAGCAAACAAGTGAGTACCTATGGCAAACAATGGTGTCTGGATACCACATTTGATGCTGGGTACCGTCAAAATGATGGATTACGGGGATCGACTATATCTAGAGTTTGTTCGAGCCAATTGCTTACCACTGGCTATCCCAAGGGTGGGTGGCATTCGCCATATCATCTGACAACATACAGGAAGTACTTTTTAAGATGACATGAGTGGAAATACCTGCATCCCCTCTGTTGATAACCGATAGTTACGAATTCTGGTTGACAAGGTGGCGCTGTCACACCCCAATTCTTGTTAGCCGGACCCTTTTCAACGTTACCGTTATCTTAGACCACGACATGCATCATTCAGTGCGAGACTTTTAAATTGCCGAATTATTTCAATTCACATTGCTAATAAATCAGAACACATTTTAGTGATTTTAGTCTTGAAAGGTGAAGGCAGAGTTTTATTTTTCCTGTAAAAGTAAAATCCTGTGTCTCTTACAAGCTGTCAATTCTGAGCATTGTGGATATCACTAACCAAGACTGTTTGATAATAAACTCTCATCAAACTAGTAAGAAGGCTCAGCTCATATATTCAGTTTGGAGCTGCCCCTCATTTGGCTCGGCCAAAATAGAAACAGCTGATGATAATTATCAAGGACCAAAATGTGCTGACTGGACTGAGGAGGATGGCAACAAGTAATCTGTGCAGCCCACTTCTTTGTTTTAATTTGTTAAAGGTGCCTCATGTCGAGCGACATTCTCAGATTTCATCAGACTAACGTCTGTCGGCCTGGCCGCCACCTCAGACGAACATCTCCTACGAACAACGATGACGTCATCCTTGACCCGCTGTTCCCACTCCTGCTCCAAGGACGAAAGGTGCAAAAGCTTCAACTACAACTTGGCAGCAGCAGCTTCACCCAGCATACGCACTTGCGAGTTACTGTCGGCCATCTTTTCAGACAGTGAAATGGCAATAAGACCCGGATTTGCTTATTATAAACACCAGTTTCCGTGACCAGAGGGAACGGTAAAAACGCACGCAGCCTTAAGGGTTTGTTGCAGCTCCCTTGAATTTTTTAGCAGCTGTAAAGTTCAGAGAAATTACTGACAAAACGAGTATTTTTCTGCGTCGATGGATGTTTTGGCACAGTCTGTTGCTATGTAGCATTTCAAAATGTTGGTCGACTTTGTTTTGCTGTTGAAGATTTATGCCAAAAACACCCAACCGACTCCTCCTCACTTGGTGTCGTGGGTGGGTGTGTACTTTAGACAAATTTGTCGCTTTCTCCACTTTTAAAAGTAACGATCAGACGCACTACAAATGAAATAAGGATGTAAACATGATTATTTACAAGCTTCTATTTGGAGCGCCTGGTCGTGTATTGTCTAAAACTCCCAAGTAAGGAAATGTCTGAGTTTTTTTTTTATAAAATGCGAGGTATTTTTAAAGACGTTACCCAACTATGACATAGTAAATACATCCCACAACAAACTCGACATCAAACGTTTAATTGCCCGTATTCTCGAATCAGCCATTTGTAAAAATCGTAACCGATGTGGTCCCTGTGAATATCACAGGCTCAAAATAGCGTGGGAACTAAGATAATGCAGTGGTTGCCGATGACAGATCACTATGCTTGTGCTCCGATGGATATAGTTACAATCTTTAGATAAAAAATTATGTCACCTTTATTGTTTTAAGGTGAAATGTTTTATAAAGTGATGCCATCGCTTTAATTACAGCAAACTAGTCAGACTCCTTCACATATCAGAGCCCATGCACCTTTACTGTATCATGGCTGTTCCTTTGCTGTCTTGTCAAAATAAAGATATAAATGTTCAGGGGTGTTGTCTACGAATCGTCATTCGGAAAGACGTTCTTCGTCTTGTAGATATTTATGGATCAGTGTTTTCGGTGAAATGATTTATTAAGTTGGCAAAAAAGAGAATTTTGTTAAGGTGCAAAGCTATTTCATCTTCCCCATGAGTCAACTCTGAAAAATTCACCCTGGATAATTAGCCTTTTGCGAGTTAAATTTGGATAAAATCTGGTTCACTGAAGTCATCTGATTACTCAGTTACGAAAGGGACGCCTTGCACCAATACACTGTTTTCAATGGATTAGAAGGGCACAAAGGAACCAGGACATTCCGAGATGGTGGTCGCTATGCAAAGTCTTGCCCCGAATCACGAGGTATAGCAACAGGGTCTGTAGTTTTTGGGAATTCAAATTGTTACGTTGATGTGCAGTCAGATAATTTCAGTGTTCCAGATTTTATTCAAATTTAACTCGCAAAATGCTCATTTCTCCGCAGTTTTCTGCAATCGAATTGTTATCAAGTCAGGAAAATCAAATTTTCATCTTCTAATGATGTTAAGCGCACTTTTGTGTGATACCATAAACCAGAAGGGTGTGGCACAGTTGCAGGAATCGACCGAACAGTTCTATCGGTGACAATTGTGGCCAAAAAATGTTGGCCCATGTGAAATACGCGCTTATAATGAAGTGTAAATTGTGGACTGCGTTGACATGTTTTTGTGGTCCTTTTAATGAACAAATCAACGTAGAAATTAACTGTTGTGGTATTTTTGTTATTGGTTAGCAACAGGGCGTTAATGCATCTAAGTCCCGATTCGGAAAATACATAAAAAGCGCACACAAAGCTTATACAATAAAAACTATGCATTCATACAAATGCAGTGTACCCAGCTTACAATATTTACTCGTAGTATTGCTTTGGCAAACATTCGGAGTTATTCTCCAATCAAATTTTATTTAGAAAAAAAATTGATCCCCCGTTCCTCACGTGCTATAAATACTGAACAGCACATGTGTTGATCCATATTTTCTGACTATAGGGGAACAAAGTGTCAGTGCTCCCATAATTAATTCTTGGATTAATGGATCGTTAGATTCATCAGTCGGATCGTAATGAATGGATATTGCAACCTCTTTGAGTCGATATTAATTAAAATTGCGCGGCACGTATCGAATGGCGCACCCACTTTTATTAACACTTTTATTACTTCATTATTGTGGACGAAACCGATTAAGTTTAGCACTGCTTTCCTCTTGTTGTTGCCTGCTTTTGTAACTTTACTGTGTGTAGATGCAGTGTGAGAACGATGAACAACCCAACCTCTCCAACGATCAGAACAGATGTGCGTTGAGTTAAGCGATGCTTTGTAATACAAAGTTCGTAATAAGTATATATGAGTCCTATTAACGACCAAAAGTAGTTAGGGGGTTGGCATCAATTTTTACTGGGAGGTGCTAGCACGCTATTAAAATGAGTTTATTCCATGGCAATCTACATAAGGTGCTGTCTCGATAGGTTAAAAAAATGTAAGGTAATAGAAAAACTTAGAGGTGCACATGGAACCATATTGCCCCTTCACCCTGTACTTGGAGTTCTCTTACTTTTCATGTTACACATATGGTTTACATAGTTTTACGTCTGTAATGCTTGAAACCTTTATTCTGTATCAGTGTGTCGTCCGAAAACTGCTTCGACAGCAATTCACAGGAATGTAGCAATTCTTGAAAATCTCTCTGGGACTGATCGAGCTTGTAGTTGAAGCTCGCACAGGCGTTGTATTTCAGGCAGTATTGGCTGCAACGAATCAGGGACGCGACCGTCAGTCTTCGCAGAAGATAATTGTCTGTGGGCGCAGCCATGTTTGCAGAACCGGCCTTGAAATTCCCCGAATTTGTGTATGATGTTGGAGAAGCTGCTGTGGGAGGTAACAGAGAACTGGTTTAGAGACCAGATTTCCAAGTTTTTCAAAATATCTGTACTACGCAACTGTATAATGTCTCTGAGCTAAAATACAAGCGCACGACTTACCAGGCTCGCGCGTAGGCGTTGGCAGAGGAACAACGTCATTGTCACTTCCTGTTGGTGAAATGAAAAGTGTGATATTGGGAGGTGTCCAACTGGCGTGACAGTAACTATACCCAGTAAGATATGTCCAATCCCTATATACACTCTAGACTATTGTTTCCCAACCCACCGCCCTAGATGTCTGTAAAGAATCCCTGAGATTCCGATCAAACAATGACCAACACAAAAGTGGGGGTGCTCTCCGTCCCATATCTTGCTTTACATGGCGGTAACAGGCAACACTGAACAATTTCAAGATGTCTTGAGATTTGTTGGTTTTCAAGCAACTTATTTGAAGAATTGCCAACCAATAAAATGATTAAGTTTTGATCGGATTTATGTTAGCGAGACGCCATCTGCAATCTCCTAAATCAAACTGTACATTTAGGTGCATGCACTACATTGTACATGTGATTATCCGGAGGGTCATGGGCTCAAATCCCACTGGAGAAGACATGTTCAGCGTTTTAGGTCCAAGGATCCAAAAAGGCATCAAGTATCACGACGTTGCATATAACAAATAACGGGACTGGTACCTATTTCATTTTTTGTTCTCACTCGATGACGGCGACTTAATTTTGTCAGTCTAAAAACCACCTAAATAGACCAACCGAGGTTGAAATACTTGGTCCGTCGGATTCGTTCCTCGTGATTTCGTTGATGCCCTTGCAACGACTTACTTTCAAGTTCGCAGATGTAACCGAATCTGTTGTCGCAATTCCTGTCGTTCCAGAGGTAATCACTACTACGGCGGAGCCTCACGCAGGGAGATTCTTCGTCTAAGGGACCAAAACGGTCCCAAGCCGTGTAGTTACCAATCGGGCTGCCGTCCAGCCACATAGGATGGTCCACATCGCTGGTATAGGTAAGTCCGAACCAGTAGTCGATACGCACCCCATGTTCTTTTGCCCATTCCTGAACGGTCGATATATCAGGAACAGTTGGTTGACACATCAGAAGGAAACGTAAATGAGGACATCTGCTATGATCTCAATATTTAATATTTTTTGACCATATAACTCGCTGCTTACATTTCACTTAAAACTGCAGAAAAGAAAAGGAAATTTCAACAACATTCTCCTTGATGGATGAAAAAGGTTGTCAAACTCTAAACTTTTCACAATCCTCTGGTGTCTCAGAGTTCCACAAATCACAATGCTTCTTCGTTATTTCTTACATTTTATAACAACTCTCACTCTCTTTACTAAAGTAAACGTTCAAGTGCCCAGAAACGTCGCTGGATTATGTTTTTCAACATTTCGCTCAGGATCAAATTAATCAAGAGACAAGAAAATGCATGGTTGCTCACCTGAAGGAATGTCTGTTCAGCTTGACTCTGGATATAGCCGAGATGGCTGTCCGGAGCCAAATTTTGGCACTCGTTACGCGCTGTGTATCCATCTGTTGGTGAGTCTGAAACTAGACGGTAGCATGACGACTCAAAGGACGTAAAACCACTCGGGCAAACTGTATGTAATCCGTGAAAAAGAATTTCATTAAATACCTACCTACCTACCTACCTACCTACCTACCTACATATATATATAAACACTCCCGGCATTCATTTATTGATTAAAAATTCAAATTAATATCGCTTGGCTTTTTCCTAATGCAATCAGTAAAACCAACACTAAAATGAATCAGGAAAATTAAAATGAATTGCATTGCCTGTTCGGGGGTTTCCACCACAAATTCCTTACGTTTTTGCGGTCTTTACACAATAATAATTTACACAGAAAAAAGAGAAACCTTTAATTTGAATAACTACGTCCTGGCGTAGATTAATGGAAGTCTCGTAACTAGTTCCCACATGAAGTAAGACGCTGTTTAGGGAAATCTACGTAAAAACACTAATCTCGTCACTGTTTAAATCACTCAAACTTATTTTCAAAAGCCTGCCCAATATTAGTTTTAGTTGCCCGAAGTACTTAGAGAATCAACTTTCAAATAACAGAAGGTAACTTATTGCGAGACGGAATTTTCTATCACACACCTGTGTCTGTTGTCATTAAGTCTTGTGAGGAACTTCCTAAGGCGTTAGCAATGCACAAGCCAATGCAGACCACAAGACAACATTCCTGACACTGCAAAATAATGAAAGAGAGTAAAAATTTACGGGCCTATTAATTAAGCAGAGGAGATTATTAATAGAACACCAGTTTCAATCTTTTTGGTCTATACGTGTAGAGACTATTCGAAAAAATTTCTAAACAGGTGTTGAGCTTGTGAAATAGCAACTAAAACCCGAAGTTACTCTGCAAGCTTAAAATCCAAAGACAGTGTCAGAAAAAGCCAAGACAATTGCCATACTGATATAATGATGACCCTCCAAAGAAAAAGAAGTGAAGTCGTTCTGTATGGAAGCTGTAGGGCCTATAATATACTGTTTATAGATATTCGTATTGAAATCACTCACCAATTGTGGGTCCATTTTCCGCCGTTTATTCCCTCCTTGTTATTCTCACCGACTTGCTGCACGCTAGTGGCAAAGTAGATGATCCGTGGAAGGGTAACATTGATTCGTTATCGGCGGGAACCGGGAAAATGCACAGATCATGTAAATTCCTTGACTTAAAATTCATGTCTCCTTGGCGTGTGATGTTTGACCTATCCAACCAGTCGAAGAGAATGCTGCAACGAGAGCCCTGAGGGCGATATAGCACGAGATCCAAGCTAGAGTAATTACGTTATACCGCGCTTTTGTGAGGGATATGGGGCTTCAAATTTAATTACTTCGCTGCGATACATTCAATTATCAGCCGAAACATATGGCGCGGGCGTGCAGTTCCTGAGAAATTTGATTAAAAATCTGGTATTACCAGGCTATGAGCGTATGGTAAAGAGACCCTGCAATTGAAATGTGATACTTGAACCACTCTTTATACCCTTAACACATCCCCCCAAGATGTCTGAAAGGAATTCCCCAGCTTTGCCTGAAATGTGGAAAGTGCCGACAGAAGGGCAAAAATCGTTTTGGCCAGTGAGAAATTTAGGTTTTTTGGCTCACTTCTAGGGCAAAGATGTCTTATGATCCCTTTCGCGTATCCCAACTGATTTGTGTAAATTGTTGGGTTTCTTCTTTGTTGGAGGACAACAATTTTGACAACGAGTGGCAGGGAGGTGACAAAGAGACTGCGGGAGGGCTACTGTACATGTACATGGGCAACTCATATGCAGCAAGGTATGAGACGGAGAGAACCCCCCCCCCC